ACGTCTGAAACATCCCATTGTGACAATGCATATCAATAGACCATGGATATACATGTTTATGTTAGCTTAAATCATCCTTATCTGTATTATACATCAATGAATTACTGAATCATTAGCTGTAAATCTTATCGATAGTTGTTGTCTAAAATTGGAGACAGAGGGATGAACAACTTTTAAACAGGTTTTGCTTTTGGATTCTCTGTACATACAAACATTTATTCACCTGACTGAACTCATTTACAGACTCGAGTCATGTGAATGGTGAATAGGTAGCTTTGATTTTTCAGGACACAAAATCACATGACGTATTATCTGTGACATATTTTACACACGGTTTAAAGCATTTTCTTTACAGTGATCAGGACCTCCTTCACATGTCCCTAAAATGATCATGTGGTGCTGGTGTTTTTGTCAATGTAGAACACTTTCATCTGAACTTTGATATCTATAGCAACTTAGACAGTGTTGTCTGTCAGCAGTGTTGGATTTTCAATATATTAAGTATGGACATGACCAGATATTCATGGATATTGAAGTGATTCCAACCGAACATTTCAGTAACATCCCTATATGAGTCTGTACAGATTTCACGTCGTAACATTTATCAGATGTAAAATTTCTAGAGAGTGAAACCCATGATTGGAAACTACATATATGGTACCTGTGCTAGATATCTAATTTTCTTGGCTCATATATGTAGAAAATGACATTTAAAGCTTAATGTGATTTTTTTATCTTATTTATCTTATTCACTAAAAGAACCGTCAATTTAGGATTTCAAACAAAAGATCCAGAAAGATAATCATTTTAAATTAACCCTATCTTGGAAATTCATCACGAGAAAGAGAATGTCTTTGTTAGATCCAGCTACCATCACGGACCAGGGGATCAAGGATGTACGCACCACTGCTATAGTAAGTGGTTATATAAGATAACTATACATGCATAAGGTATATACAATAATGAAAAGCTGTAGAATTTCATTTCTTGCATGTTTATGTCTTGGAATTCATATTTGTTTTGAAAATCTTGGAATCAGGTATGAATGCTTTAAAAAGTCCCTGAATTTACACATTTAGTGTAAAAAAAAATAAAAATATATTATACGGTTCCAATATTATTCATGAAAAATTATAGACGGTTTTGTAAAGATTGTGAACTGTATTTGCTTACCCTGTGTTTTTTACATGCAACCTACAACTACAAAAAAAAACCTTAGTTACCTTCATTTGAAATCTGTTAATGAAAAAGTCTTTGTCAGAACTCTTAAGCTGAATGTATGACCTTCACCCACTTTCTGACCCACTTCATTGTGGACAAATGTGTTTAAAAATTATACAACTTCTGAATAAGCAAAGTGCCAAGGTGTTGATATTGTGCTTACAGCTGCTGGGATGAGGGCTACAAATTTATTTTCAATATAATTATCTTGACCTACTTTTAAGGTCAGAGGGATCAAATATATTAAAGTTTGTTAACAACTTTTTTGCAATAACCAAATGGCTTAAGATGCTGATACTTGACATGTAGTGTGCTGGGATGAATTAAAGGCAACAAAGTTTGTCCAGATGAATGACTATGAGTCAATTTCAAGGCTACAGTGGTGAAATGTGTTAAACTCTTTATACAATGTTATTTCAATAACCAAAAGGCACAATATGCTGATATTAGGCCTGTGGCATGCTGGGATAAAGTGCTACCATATTTGCTCAAATGAATAACTTTAAGTAAATTTCAAGGTCAAATGGGTCATAATCTTTAAATAACTTCTTCTCAGTATGGTAACCATTAAGTCCAGGGTGCTGATATTGGTCCTGTGGCATGGTAGGATAAAGTACTACCAAGCCAAATAAATGACATTGACCCACCTTCAAGGTCATTGGTGTCTAACATGTGAAAATCTTAACAAAAATATGTTGTTGATGAACAATAGGTCAAAGTTTCTGATATTGGTTCTGTAACATAACTGGATGAAGGGCTGCCAATGTTATTCATATGATTGATCTTGACCCACTTTTAAGGTTATTTGGGGTCAAATGTAATGTCACATAAAACTGCTTCATTCAGTAATCAATAGGTCCTGGGTTGTGATGTTTATGAAGCTTTAGGAATAGGATTTCTAGTTAAAGATATAGACTTTATGAACCAACAAAGTCTTTTGTGTTAGCTGTTGAAGAGTTGAGCAACTCAGGCTCATTATATATCATATATATGTCTTTATAGTCAGACGACTCTTAAGTCCACAGGCCTTTTGTAATGAATCGTATTATGCAGCTTTATAAATAAGACCTCTGATGCATTCAACAATGGCACCAATTCAATAGTAACTCATAGAGGTGTGTACATTTGCAGTTTTATTTCTATTGGACCTTGTGAACCTGATAACTTGAATAGATATGAACAAATTTTGATAACATATGTCATGCAGCCTTATATCTATAAGATCACTAACGATTGTCAACATATGACTGATTTGATGGTAATATACATAGTTATGGTCCTTTGCATTTTTAGTAACATAGATATTTTGAACAGGGTAACTTAAGTAAAGATAAACAGATTTTAATGCAACTTAGTATGCAGCCTTATTTCAATAAGGTCTTAGGTGAGTTTGACAATGTTTAATGTTTAACAGAGTTATGGCCCTTTGTAATTTTATTACCATTACACATTGTGAAAATGATAATTTGAGTCGATAGGAACAGGTTTTACTGAATCGTGGTCTACAACCTTACATTAGCATTTGGGATGAGTTCAAAAATGGAACTGATTTGATCATAATTTGCAGAGTTATGGCCCTTCACAATCCTATTACCCCGGGTCTTGTGAACACAATAACTTGAATAAATATGAACAGATTATAAAGAAATTTGGTATGAAGCCTTATATCAATAAGATCTTGTATGGATTTTATGATGGGACCATTTTGATCATAACTTACACAAATTATGACCTTTTGCGATTTGTTTACCTTTAGACCTTAGGAACATGATCATTTGACTAAAGTAGATTTTAATAAAACTTGGTATGCATTGTTATGACAATATGATCTCACACGAGACCAACGGAACCAATTCAGTTGTAATTTACAGAGTTATGGTCCTATGCAGTTTCATGGTTAATGAATGTTTTGAACATATTAACTTGAGTCCTTCAGATTGGGTTTTGGTGAAACTTGGTATGCAGTCTGATATCATTAAGATCTTGGATAAGAACTTAATAGGATTATGGCTCTTTCCAGTTTTAGTTCAAGTGAGATTAGTTAGGTGATGATTAAGGCCCATGGGGCCTCTTGATTAATTTAACCCAGATGCTTACCTAAGAATTGTGATAATTGTCTGGTAGGTCCCTAAGATGCAGTCCAGCGAATTATTCCAAAAAAATGACCTTGACCCATAATAAAGAACACAATTGTCAAATTTGTGAAAATACTCAAATTCTTTTCACTGTAAAAACCAAGATTGAGAATAGTGTCAAAGGTATAGCTTTGGTTGGGCTGTATGGAGAAACCGTGAAGTGATTTTGGTGTTACTTTTCCACTGTTTGCAGCATCACAACATGATAAAGCTTTGCCTCCAGATCTGTCAATCAGAAAGTCTAACTAAACCTGGTACATAGATAATGTATTAGTGCCTCAACACAACCCTAATTAATTACAAATTATCTTCCAAATTTTATGGTCCAGCAACTCTGAAAATTAAGGACACTGAAAAGCTTCTCATCAAGTGCTATACCAAGCTGGAAAAAAGTTAGGTTGTTATATCTGAACCCACCAAGTAGTTATAACATTAACTTTACTTTTTTCCTCAGCTTCAGGTTTTAGAGAAATGACTACCCGTCGTATAAAGTATTGATATCTGCTCCATTTACTGCAGATTTAGTTTATAGTCATATTGAAGCAAGCACTGTTAAAACATTATTGAAGTCTTCCACTCCTTCTCAAGGAAAGTCGAATGAATTTTGCAAAGATTTCATTTTCATAAGCGTTTTTAAGGTACCTTTTTTATTTCACTGATTAACCAATATAATATTCAGCCTTTGAACTCTTTGTTTATCATATACCAAGCCACTAAGAAATAAACTATGGCCTGAAGTCACATTTTGAAGAAACATTAAATCTAACTGTGTCCTGCTACCTAAGTTTCTTGATCCAAACTTGTCATATCTGAAAATTTTCCTTGCACTTCATTTTATTTAACACATCATTTCGTGTTGTTGTTTTCTTTTTGTAAGTACAAAGCACCTTTATTAGGGTTGAATAAGTATGTATGTTTCACAATCAGGTGTCAAGGTCACATGACCTCTGTTAATATCTTACTCAAAAGGCCACTTCATTGCTCATTCAAGAAATGACTTTCATTTCTTCATATGATATCACATCTGAGACATGATAATCTTTATTTGTAAACAAACCAGTCAAGCTGAAGTGCGTGACTTGTGTTTTTGTTGCCGAGGAAATGTGCTGTGTGTATTAAATGGCATACCAAATCTTATCCTGTTAAACAATGTAGTTATTTTAAATGAAGAATTCCTGTTTGATCCTACATTTTTGACCGACAGGAAACAAGACCACAGATTGTTTTTTGACCAATCTGCTGGTCTGTCTTGTACATTAAGACATATGATCATTTGTCATCTTAGATCACTTGATTTAGTCCTGTCAACCCTTAAGATATCTAAGTGGATACACCGAGATTAAGGCAAGGAGAGTTCATTCTCGATTCAAGGGAAGTTAGCATGGATGTTGTATAAAGTGTTTTCATATTCTGTTTTGGATGATCTATTATTATAACTAAGTATTAGTTGGATATGAAATCACTGCTGCTGTCTCGTGATAAGTACGTGGTAACATTCCCTTATATAAATGCTGAAAAATAGAATTCATAGCCAAATCTACAAATTGTTGTTTTAAAACGTGTGGGATGTTTCAAAGGAGATTGACAGTAAAATTATTGAACTTGTTCTTCTCAAATTTGTTGAATATCAAAATTCATTCTACAATGCACAGAAGCAAACCAGAACAATACAAAAATGTGCCTTTGTTTAAAGTCGGTACTTCAGGCTTTAGCTGGAAAACGTTTGGTGACAGCACAAGTTCATCGGAGTTTGAAGAAATATCTTCAGATCTTGGTGGTTGCAGTATAAAGAAAATGGTTTGTAAATTTTTTTCTCTAAGAGGTAGTTTTTAGTCACACTGGTGACAATTTTAGAATGGGCCTTTGGTGCATTTGTAATGAATTTGATGTTCACCAAAGTGACCTGGTTACCATTCCCCAATAAAGGTATGGAGTCACCTGTAAAAATGTGTAGGTTTATCTCAGTTTCTCCAGTTTCCACCAACTTTCTCTTCTGTCTGCAAAGAAGTCAATGATATAATTTAAATATATATGGAACTTAAGATGCTCAAAATTTTTAAATTAACTGTTCTGGTCATGTTTTTTTGACAAGTTAGATGATAGAAAGTAATTCAAAAAGAAAAAAAAAACAAAAAAAAAGCTTGTTGCACTTCTGTTACCATTATATGTATCAGAGTATGTGTTAATGGAAGGATAAGTTTTTCTTCATTGTCTTTTCGTGGATAATAAATATTCTTGGTTTCTTTTTAAAGTGACCCTTGTTTTCAGTAAATTTCTTATAGCTTAAAATGTGAAAGAATAATACTGGGATAAGCAAAACCTCAAAATGTTAATTTTCGATTTCATTTGACAATTATTAATCTCCAAAACAGCAAAAAGAAATAAAATTTGGAAAAACTGCTTAAATCCTATATTGACAAGGTTCTAAAATTTATCTTTATGGTTTGATAGGAGAACATTTTCTTTGGGTTGATAATATCAGCAGAATAGAAGTTCTTATAAAACAATACAACTTGTAGAAGATTAGAGTGTGACATTTGGATGATTATACGGTCACTGTCGTCAGACAAATGACCATTATGGGGCGTACCAGCACTGACACATGCATTGTATGAGATGGTAAGGAATTTTGACCAACTTTTTTCAGCTGTTTTATCATCCTATGTATGCTTCAAGGTTAAAAAATAGTGTGAGGAGATGGTAAACATATTATAGACCAAAAATTACACAAGATGATAGCCCTTTAGTCAATTCAGCTATAGTTTGTTTAACACTTTGTCATAAATGTGCGGGAGTCTGTGGCCCCCATTGTCCCTGTTTAGCACTGGCCCACTACAGATGGCGTTCCTAACCAGCTGCCTGAGAATGTTGTTTTCCCTGTCAACTGTTTTTTTAATTTTCCTAGTCAATGATATGAGTTAACTGTGTGGAATGATCTTAAAGTGCTGATTTATTGATCCTGGACTGAGAATTTTTTCGCTATGATCTAGATTTCTTTTGCCTTCCTTGGATGTCTTTCTGATGTTACCTCCTACCCACTTGGTACTGAGATCGAATGTTTATACAAGATTGATAACTCTTCACCCAAGGATGCTTCAGACCAAATTTGGGCAATATCCATTTATTCCTACAAGAGGGGTAGGATTTATAAGAATTTACTCTATTTCCTCTATTGGACCCCACCCCTCCTACCTCAGGAGACCAAGGCTTTACGTTTATACAAGAATGATTCCTCTTCACCCAATAAATCTACAGACCAAATTTGGGCAATATCTATTCATTCCTACAGGAGAAGTAGAATTTTGATTTTGTAAAGTACTTACAACATTTTCTCTTTTGGGCCCATCCAATCTGGCCCGTGGGGGCCAAGAACTAATATCTAAAGAAAATTGGTTCCCCATCCTCAAGGATGCTTCTGACCAAAGGTCAAAGTCTGTGCAGTCATTCATGACTAGTAGATATTTTTACTTATAAGTTAATGGACACCGCATCATGAAATAAACTTACAGGTTGTCAGACCAGGAGAGCTATGTAATTGTGTGTACATGTACATGGTCATGAGTTTTGTCTTGTCTAGATAATATGAACACCCGATATCTACATTGAAATGTGCACATTAAGTCTTGAAATAGGAAACACACAAAAATTATGTAATGTGGTCCATTTAATTTCATCATAGGAAGTTTTAAGGTAAACAAATCATATTTGCTGGGCTATATATTTTTCTCAAAAGGAAATTGATGAAAGAAAAAAAAAGATTAAACAAGGAAGTTTCATGCATAGAAGATAGCATGGTTTAATAACTTTGATTGGCTTTCACCCTGTATCAGATAGTGTAGATTAGTGTAACAGTTATGGGAACTATTTCACCAGGATATAATTATCAAACTACACATAATATCTATTGATTATCTGATATCAAATGACACAAAATATATATTGATTATCTGATATCAAATGACACATAATATATATTGATTATCTGATATCTGATATCAAATGACACAAAATATATATTGATTATCTGATATCAAATGACACAAAATATATATTGATTATCTGATATCAAATGACACAAAATATATATTGATTATCTGATATCAAATGACACAAAATATATATTTAATAAAATGACACAAAATATATATTGATTATCTGATATCAAAAATACACAAATTTTTAAAAAATATTAGAAAATATACAAAGGGAACATTGAACTATCTGTTGTACATATATTCAAGCACGAACATAATTTTGTCATATGTCCCAGTTTTAAGTTTATTTTGAAAATTTAAAAGTATCAATTTTATCAGTTAGGTAATTTTCATGAGATAGAGGATGTTTTTTAGAATACAAAATAAATTGTTTATGGTTATGTATATGATTTGTACCAAACAGCCATTGTAATATTAAAATCTTGTTGGTTGGTAGGGAATACAAAGGATTTTTTTTATATTTAAGTGGGAACAAATGTAATAGGTACGGAAAATAATAATACCCAAAGTTTGGCAGGTGACCTGGCACCAAGTTGTACCTTTTCAAATCAATAGTTACCAGTAATGGATGGAGCTGTAGATATCTAAGAATTAAAATCTACTAAATAAAATGTTCTCACATTCTCTAGTGCAAATATGTACCCAGATATTTGTATAGGACCAAATTCAAATGAATAGTATGCCAGCTGGATTCGTCTCTTTAAATCAAGTTTGCAAATTTCAAAAATCTCCTAAATGAAGCTGTGTAAGTGAGATTAAATATAAACTTTATTTATTTTACAACAATTGCGAAACAAGTTATGTCAACTTATACTAATCACTCTTGTTGGCCCGGATGTAAGCACGCGAGGGGTCTTATTGTGGGAGGAAACCGGAGTACCCGTGGAAAACCCACGTGGTCGGGCAGGTGACCCCTTACCTTTTCACGACCTTAATTAATTGATAAGGAACCGACTGAACTGCCTACCAAACAGCACCCGGTGTTGGCTCTATTACCCCTCTTCTATTATCTAGTTATAAGTTACAACTTGAAAAAAGTCCGATCTTTTAAAAATATAAAGGTAAATGTATTGAAGTGTAGAGTTGATATATTTAATTATAGTCTGTATTAATAATTGTGATATTTTATTATAGTATATTTACGGTAGTAATAATGAAATTTTTTACTATATAGTAATATAATTATGATACTAATAATCAAAATATTTTACTCTATAGTAGTATATTTATGGTATTAAGAACAGAAATATTTTACTATATTTTAGTATATTTACGGTATTAAGAACTGAAATATTTTACTATATTGTAGTATATTTACGGTATTAAGAACAGAAATATTTTACTATATTGTAGTATATTTACGGTATTAAGAACAGAAATATTTTACTATATTGTAGTATATTTATGGTATTAAGAACAGAAATATTTTACTATATTGTAGTATATTTACGGTATTAAGAACAGAAATATTTTACTATATTGTAGTATATTTACGGTATTAAGAACAGAAATATTTTACTATATTGTAGTATATTTACGGTATTAAGAACAGAAATATTTTACTATATTGTAGTATATTTATGGTATTAAGAACAGAAATATTTTACTATATTGTAGTATATTTATGGTATTAAGAACAGAAATATTTTACTATATTGTAGTATATTTACGGTATTAAGAACAGAAATATTTTACTATATTGTAGTATATTTACGGTATTAAGAACAGAAATATTTTACTATATTGTAGTATATTTACGGTATTAAGAACTGAAATATTTTACTATATTGTAGTATATTTATGGTATTAAGAACAGAAATATTTTACTATATTGTAGTATATTTATGGTATTAAGAACAGAAATATTTTACTATATTGTAGTATATTTATGGTATTAAGAACAGAAATATTTTATTATATTGTAGTATATTTATGGTATTAAGAACAGAAATATTTTACTATATTGTAGTATATTTACGGTATTAAGAACAGAAATATTTTACTATATTGTAGTATATTTACGGTATTAAGAACAGAAATATTTTACTATATTGTAGTATATTTACGGTATTAAGAACAGAAATATTTTACTATATTGTAGTATATTTACGGTATTAAGAACTGAAATATTTTACTATATTGTAGTATATTTATGGTATTAAGAACAGAAATATTTTACTATATTGTAGTATATTTATGGTATTAAGAACTGAAATATTTTACTATATTGTAGTATAATTATGGTACTTCCAGATACTTCAGCAACCCTAATTACGTTACTTCTGTCTGGATGATAATTTTCACCTGCATGTTTTTCTATATATATACCTACAATATACACTGTTGTTTACTGTTATTTTGTTTACTTTGTACAGGTGTATGACGCGTTCTATACCACCAGAGATATACCAGACCTACATTTTAGGCTGATGTCAGATTTTTGTTTATGAATCACCTGCGTATGTTATCTACATCATCTCACATGATGTTGAATGATTATCCTGCTTCAGATACTTGTATACATAGACAAATATGTATGAAGGGGTCAATTTTAAATATTTAGTGAATTCGTAATAAAAGCTCGGCAGATCTTATGTTGATTGTTGAATTTGAAAACAACTTAAATCTAAAATGATGTGCACAACTTTTAAAATTTTATCCAAATATGGAAAGAAGTTTTTGGGGTTTTTAAGATCCCTGCATATTGTGTGTTACTTGAGGATATTATTGCTCTTAAGATAAACATTTAGAATTACAATTTCATCAGAATTCACAAGCCTAACACCTGATACCAACTTAAGACTAAAGTTGTGAGACCAGTTGTTGATCTAACTCACTTGGTATTGTGATTCCGGATTAATTATTTTCTGAAAAGATCAAGATTTTAACAGAAGAAGATATGTTGCTTTGAGAATTTCTCAATCTCATATAACAGCTTTATTGAACTAAATATTTCACAGGGGATGTTGATGTATATGTTTGTCATTAAAACATTTTTTTCCAGATGAGATCAACTTGTTAGGAACGCAACCTGTACACTGTATATGAAAATGAATTTTAAATTAAGAAAAAATGAAATGAAAAAGAGTATAATTTATAAAAAAGAAATTTTTATTTGCAGGCAGGAGCCACTGAGAACGCTAAGAAAGAACACTTGTACAAAATACTGGTCATTGGGGAGCTCGGTACAGGAAAGACAAGTATTATCAAACGATATGTTCATCAGTTCTTTTCTCAACACTACAGAGCCACCGTATCCTTTATCACAGTCCAATCATTATTTGATGTGCACCGGGTATATTTTTGTATGTAGACACCTTGTCACTAGAATACTAGAAAAGAATTAGGAATCGATTTAGAAGAAATATTAATTTTTTTATGGAAGGACTTTTCATCAACTTGGATTTGAAGTAATGTCCTGGGCTGGTACACATGATTACTGATAAATACCAAGTAGGGAAGTATTATGCTGAATAATGAATAATCGTGACCCATGTCAGTGTTTGGGGCTTGGTCATATTGGAACAAGGAAGTTAAGTCCTGTGTTTTGCTTTTGTTTCTTAAGAAATAATGTCTTAGATTTTCAACAGTTAAGATGTTGTTTCCTTTATGATGTTAAATGGTGTCTAAATGATATAATGTTAGCATTTCATTGCTAAATGGAAACTGAATTTCAAAATTAAACATTTTAAAAACATGCCTATGTGATCAAAGTAAACAATCCTGTGGGAATTTTATGTGAATTGAAAATAGCTTTGTTTAAACAAAATATTACAATTTTTTAATATGCTTTCCATGTTTGTATTCTGTGCTCAGATACACACTGAAGTCTTTTATGGTTGTAACAGAGTAACGTTCCGTTCACTATATCGCATGTTATTGTTGATAACTTTATCTTTCCCTTAACATTATCACAGATAGGTGTAGATTTTGCGTTAAAAGTTCTAAATTGGGATGCAGAAACAATTGTACGGCTACAGCTTTGGGATATTGCTGGTAAGTCATAAAGTTGGTTTCATTATCAGTAACATCACAATCGCCATTGGTGAAATACATACTGCTACAATTCAGTGAAATCTTCTTTCCTTATGGCAAGGAAAAAATTATTGCTGATTTAAGCTTTCGCTATTTGTTTAAAAGTCATCTTGGCTGTATTTTAAACAAAATGATCGGTTCAGCAGTTTTTCTTTGTACATGTATGTCAGTACCTAAACATTTTTTCTTTTAGGCCAGGAGAGGTTCGGAAACATGACCCGGGTTTATTATCGTGAGGCAGTGGGCTGTATTATAGTGTTTGACGTCACAAGAGCATCTACATTTGATGCTGTCACTAAATGGAAAGGTGACCTTGACAGTAAAGTGCAGTTAGCAGATGGAAGCCCTGTACCTTGTGTGTTACTGGCTAATAAGGTAATATCTAATAAACAGACAACAGCCCTGTACCCTGTGTGTTACTGCCAAATAAGGTCATGTCTAAATAACAGACAACGCCCCAGCACCTTGTGTATTACTGCCTAGTAAGGTAATGTCTAAATAAGAGACAACAGCCCTGTACCCTGTGTGTTACTGCCAAATAAGGTCATGTCTAAATAACAGACAACGCCCCAGCACCTTGTGAGTTACTGGCTAGTAAGGTAATATCTAATAAACAGACAACAGCCCTGTATCCTGTGTGTTACTGCCTAATAAGGTCATGTCTAAATAACAGACAACGCCCCAGCACCTTGTGTATGACTGCCTAGTAAGGTAATATCTAATAAACAGATAACAGCCTTGTACCCTGTGTGTTACTGCCTAATAAGGTCATGTCTAAATAACAGACAACAGCCCTGTACCCTGTGTGTTACTGCCTAATAAGGTAATGTCTAAATAACATACAACGCCCCAGCACCTTGTGTGTTACTGCTTAATAAGGTCATGTCTAAATAATAGACAACGCCCCTGCACCTTGTGTGTTACTGGCTAGTAAGGTAATATCTAATGAACAGACAACAGCCCTGTATCCTGTGTGTTACTGCCAAATAAGGTCATGTCTAAATAACATACAACGCCCCAGCACCTTGTGTGTTACTGCTTAATAAGGTCATGTCTAAATAATAGACAACGCCCCTGCACCTTGTGTGTTACTGGCTAGTAAGGTAATATCTAATGAACAGACAACAGCCCTGTATCCTGTGTGTTACTGCCAAATAAGGTCATGTCTAAATAACATACAACGCCCCAGCACCTTGTGTATTACTGGCTAGTAAGGTAATATCTAATGAACAGACAACAGCCCTGTACCCTGTGTGTTACTGCCTAATAAGGTAATGTCTAAATAACATACAACGCCCCAGCACCTTGTGTGTTACTGCTTAATAAGGTCATGTCTAAATAATAGACAACGCCCCAGCACCTTGTGTGTTACTGCTTAATAAGGTCATGTCTAAATAATAGACAACGCCCCTGCACCTTGTGTATTACTGGCTAGTAAGGTAATATCTAATGAACAGACAACAGCCCTGTACCCTGTGTGTTACTGCCTAATAAGGTAATGTCTAAATAACATACAACGCCCCAGCACCTTGTGTGTTACTGCTTAATAAGGTCATGTCTAAATAATAGACAACGCCCCTGCACCTTGTGTGTTACTGCTTAATAAGGTCATGTCTAAATAATAGACAACGCCCCAGCACCTTGTGTGTTACTGCTTAATAAGGTCATGTCTAAATAATAGACAACGCCCCTGCACCTTGTGTATTACTGGCTAGTAAGGTAATATCTAATGAACAGTGTGTGTGTTACTGCCTAATAAGGTAATGTCTAAATAACATACAACGCCCCAGCACCTTGTGTGTTACTGCTTAATAAGGTCATGTCTAAATAATAGACAACGCCCCTGCACCTTGTGTGTTACTGCTTATTAAGGTCATGTCTAAATAACAGACAACGCCCCTGCACCTTGTGTGTTACTGGCTAGTAAGGTAATATCTAATAAACAGACAACAGCCCTGTACCCTGTGTGTTACTTCCTAATAAGGTCATGTCTTAATAACAGACAACGCCCCAGCACCTTGTGTGTTACTGGCTAGTAAGGTTATATCTAATAAACAGACAACAGCCCTGTACCCTGTGTGTTATTGCCTTATAAGATCATGTCTAGATAACAGACAACAGCCCTGTAGTCTGTGTGTTATTGCCTTATAAGATCATGTCTAGATAACAGACAACAGCCCTGTACCCTGTGTGTTACTGCCTAATAAGATCATGTCTAGATAACAGACAACAGCCCTGTACCCTGTGTGTTAGTGCCTAATAAGATCATGTCTAGATATCAGACAACAGCCCTGTAGTCTGTCTTTACTTCCTGATGTAGATTTAGAAGATCAGATTTTTGATTTTCTATTTTCTCCAGAATCCAGAAGTTCATTATTAACTTACATAATCTTTTGTTAAATTATTTACACTCAGTATGGTAGTATTTTTTATTAATGGTCAGCTCTATGTTGTAAATATGTTGCTTCATTATCAAAACCAATTCAAACATTGAACATAATGTATCTTATTTAAGAGTGAATTGAAAGCTTACAGAGTTCAGTTAAGATCTGTGATTTTTGTGTTGACAGTGTGACCAAGCAAAGGAAGGATTAGTGAACAATTCAGCACATATGGATGAGTTCTGTCATGAAAAGGGGTTCGTCGGCTGGTTTGAGACGTCGGCTAAAGAAAATATAAACATCGATGAATCCACTAGATACTTAGTAAATAGGGTATGTATCACTTACAAGGAAACATTACTGACATCTAGGTCTCCCATACAAAAGAGCTCAATACCAAATGCAACCCATCAGAGTTTTTGAGTTTGATTTTGAGTCTCATGCAGATCTGAGAGTTATGCCCCTTGGTTCTTTTAAGTTACCAATATATAAGGTATGTTAATTAGTATACAGAATTTTCTATGAGCTCAATAAATAGAAGGGTCAGGTTCAGCAACAAGTCACAGGATTAAGATTGATATTTAATTGGTGTTTGGAATATTTATACATTACTGATAAAGAGAAGCAATGTCCTTATATCAAATTTGGATTTAGCAATTTTTGGTTTGTAGTTTGAGATTTTATTTCCCGACTTTCAACATCAAATGATATCCTCTGTCAAACTAAGAAAAAAAAATGTGGTTAGAAGAAAATTAGAATTGTTAAGCAGTGTTGAGACTTGGTTTTAGGATCAGACAGATAAAAACAGTGCAGGAAAGGTATCAAGTTGCCTTGGTTCTATTTAGATAATTAATATGTCAGAATACTCTAGAGTCCATCTCTAGACAAATTTAGGATTAGCAAGGGATCAGATTTTAGAGGCATCATGCTAGAAATATTCACTATTAAAATTTCATCACTTCCTTCATCAACAAAATGTCAAAATATTTTGACCCCAAATTTCACACTGAAATTGCCAAACTATTCAACAAGGACACTATTGGGCTCCATTTCATATTTGTCTTCTCAAACTTCTTTTTTTGTAGATTTTACAAAACGATCAAAATTTAAGAGCGGAGGACGAAAACGACCGTGATAAAATTGAATTAGGAGATGAAGATCGGTTCCGAAAATCAAAGAAAAATGAGGGCGGATGTTGTTCTTAGCAACTGGTAAAACACTCAAGTATGAAAACAATCATCACCCATCTGTTGTGAGCTAGCCTGAAACATGGTCCTATACAAACTGTTGTTTTAGTACAACACTGTACTTGTGATAATGAGTGGAACTGTTTTCATGGTGAAATGTAGTGAAACTTCCTGAATGTGGTAGGATATGTGTATATAGTGAGATATGGAAATGTAATATGTATTTTATAATAAAACCATTAGAGTTTTATATCAAAGCATTATTTCCTACACCAACAAAATATCAGGTAGAAAGTGGAAAGTCTGTCATTTGCCATATTTGACCTTTGAACTCTTTGTATCTTTGATAAGTTTGATGACATTTGAAATGTATATGCAATATTCTAATACAAAAATGAAATGTTGTCTTTTAGTTTTTAAAATGCTATCAGTTAATTTTTAAAATGCTGCCATAATTTTTTTTTTCTGTTAGACTTCAAATATGTGAATTAGACAACCAGTAGTACTAGGAGACAGAGTATGTATAGGGAAAACAACCTGCAGTAGAAGGACAAGAACATTTTGTCAGCTATACTACTGGGGGTGATGTGTCCATTGTCTTATGTCTAATGGCTATGTGTAATCTACACGCCAAGTAATATAGTGCACCAGGCTGACCTTTTCAAAGGGAAAAATAAAGTATAAAACATAATATGCATACAAAATGTGGACCTTATGTATAAGTCAGCTGGTGATGATATACAACTGATAATTCAATCCTCTTTGAAACAAGCATTTTCATTGGCCAATAATTTTATGTCATCATGTTTGATTGGCCAATGTGGCAATGTAAAAGATTATAAAAAAGGGCCATTATAAAAGTTTAAAATATCACGTTGTGTAATTTTGTAATAAGGTTTAACACTAAACAACGGAGTGGACTACTGGCTTAAACCATGATTTATTATAAGTACACTCCGTTTTTTCTTTTATTGCTCAATAACATAAGAAATGACTAATGCTAATCCTTTAATAACTGAAAATAAAACTTGATGAATGACCTAGTTGTCTTCTTAAAGTGTAAGGTGTTAATCATTCAGGTCATTTGAGTACTCAGTATGGTGTTTGGTTGTAAGTCTGATGTTGTGAGAATGAATGGATGGAGAAGCAACCGTACGTTTATAAGAAAGCAAAATATAAATAGTTTCTGACTCCTTTCCCTTAAAGATAATTTGCTTATATCATCGGATTTGTTTTTTACAAATATGAGGGGAGAGACATTTTCTTGCGAATTATGAAGTTTTAAGAAGTTGTTCAATTAAAGGAATCCAAATTGTATAAGCATCTATGTTATGTTTATGTGTAATAAAGCTTTATGAGCAAACATTTATCCAAACTGTTTAATTGATGTCTGCAATTATCCTAAATACCCAGGGTAATTAGTATAATGTCACTAACAGTTAATCACAAGTATGTGAAATTTCCCTACAAGGAACTGGGAAATAATCCAAACAAATGACAGATGGGGATGAAACGGCCAATAGATTGTTTTTTTGTCTGGGAGTAGACCTATAGTAAGTATATGAAAACTTATACAACAACAGTATTTGTTTCCTTGATATATCCAACCTTGCCTAATCTGAAATCCTACATGTATACAAAACTGACTTTATCATATGTTTATCATGGACCTGTCTCTTTTTATTGAAACTTTATCTAACTATTCTTTTGTGCTAGAGGAGTGGTATTATTATGAGGAGTTACTCGAGGTGGTAGTATTGTGGGGAGTTACTCGAGGTGGTAGTACTGTGAGGAGTTACTCCAGGTGGTAGTATTATAAGGAATTACTCCAGGTGTTAGTATTGTGAGGAGTTACTCCAGGTGTAAGTATTGTGAGGAGTTACTCCAGGTGTTAGTATTGTGAGGAGTTACTCCAGGTGTTAGTATTATGAGGAGTTACTCCAGGTGTTAGTATTGTGAGGAGTTACTCCAGGTGTTAGTATTGTGAGGAGTTACTCCAGGTGGTAGTATTGTGAGGAGTTACTCCAGGTGGTAGTATTGTGAGGAGTTACTCGAGGTGGTAGTATTGTGAGGAGTCACTCGAGGTGGTAGTATTGTGAGGAGTTACTCGAGGTGGCAGTATTGTGAGGAGTTACTCCAGGTGGTAGTATTTTGAGGAGTTACTCCAGGTGGTAGTATTGTGAGGAGTTACTCGAGGTGGCAGTATTGTGAGGAGTTACTCCAGGTGGTAGTATTGTGAGGAGTTACTCCAGGTGGTAGTATTGTGAGGAGTTACTCCAGGTGATAGTATTGTGAGGAGTTACTCCAGGTGGTAGTATTGTGAGGAGTTACTCCAGGTGGTAGTATTGTGAGGAGTTACTCCAGGTGGTAGTATTGTGAGGAGTTACTCCAGGTGGTAGTATTGTGATGAGTTACTCGAGGTGGCAGTATTGTGAGGAGTTACTCCAGGTGATAGTATTGTGAGGAGTTACTCCAGGTGGTAGTATTGTGAGGAGTTACTCGATGTGGTAGTATTGTGAGGAGTTACTCCAGGTGGTAGTATTGTGAGGAGTTACTCCAGGTGGTAGTATTGTGAGGAGTTACTCCAGGTGGTAGTATTGTGAGGAGTTACTCGATGTGGTAGTATTGTGAGGAGTTACTCCAGGTGGTAGTATTGTGAGGAGTTACTCCAGGTGGTAGTATTGTGAGGAGTTACTCCAGGTGGTAGTATTGTGAGGTAGTTATATTGATGATAGATTCATCAAAGGTTTTTTTTTATTTTGTTTTGAAGACAACAGTGATTTTAAGGACTCAAATATTTTAGTCCAGGGTTTATGCTTTTCCTGTTGGACTCGCTTAGATTTAGAGAACCCAGTTTTAGAGTTAATGTTCAAAACTTGCCCAAAAGTCCTACAGAAATTTTTGAGGTGATAAAATTTGTCCATTATTTTTGAAAAAAAAGAAAATGTAAAACTTACATGTGATATATTTTTTGTTATATCCACATCTTACATAAAACGGATTTACAACACTGTCCTATGTAATTTGAACATCGGAAGATTTACTAGTACTCTTGTGAGTTAAAACATCATGATACAAAAAGAATCAAATTGTTGGCTAGGCTTATTTTTCTTGATTCAGTTATGAAAAATAGGTCAGGATGCTGAGAGAGTTTCTTCCCTATCTTATGTTTTATGTATGTTACTGGTGATTTCTGTGATTTTAATTTTTACAAATTTGTTAATTTTTTAATTTCACATCTATGTTTGTGTCAGTAATACATTGTGAATGGAATTTAAACATATAAACACCTCTATATTATTCACTTTACATATTTGTTGTAAGTAAACACTAAATAGCAGGCTTTATTCTATAACCCTCCTTATGTGATATTTCCAACACAATTTAAGTACCGAAATTGTATAATTAATATGAAAATTGTATAATTAATATGAAAATTGTATAATTACTATAAAAATTGTATAATTAATATGAAAATTGTATAATTATTATAAAAATTGTATAATTGATATGAAACAAGATAAATGGTTTACCATGATATTGAAAGATATATGTATACAAATGTTTATGTAAAGTCCAAAACAACCCAACATTTGATGAATGTCATTATTGTCCGGAAATAAACAATTAAAGGGGACATAACTCTGGTAGTATTATAGTTCAGCAATAGAATCGAATTATTTTGTGTGTGTGTAGAGATTTTCATCCTAGCATTGAGAAAATGCTTGTCAGAGTGAGTGAGGTAATTTGAGTGATACATATACAGTATTTGTCGGTTACATATTTACTTTCCTATAATGTGAAGGGTTTGTACAGAGGTTTGATTTGTGCCTCTTTAATTCAAATCCAGATAGTTACATTAATACATTGCTTCCATAGGACACATATAATAGTTTTGAATAACCTTTGAAGAATTAGTATGAGAAATACATCAGTAATAATCTTTAAGACTAGTGAGGTTTCCTATGGTTTTAAAAGTGGTATATTGATAACAGATAAAAATCATGTTTGATTTTAATTTGAACATGCATTATTTAGCGTTTTTTCCATTTTAATTTTTTGGTAACAAATTTGTATAGGTGTCTGAAGAGCGATGTGTATATTTAACAACATTTGTATAAATGTGCTCTAATAGTATTTCGGTCACTTAGATATTCAGATTATCATTATTTGTATGATGTTCATAACCTTTCCTATCAAGCAATCGGATATCTCTTCGTTATGCCCTGTAATATCAAGTTTTTAATAATTATCTTCACACTAACCAATCAGATATCTTTTGTCTTTTTCTCTTTGCTTAATATAAATCTGTGTACTGTCAGAGAATAAATCTCCAGAAATTCTCAGATATATAGAAATATTGGAATTAACACAATTATGGGGCTAGTGAACCTACCAATATAAATTTGGTCATTTGTTTTTATCAAGGCCAGTAATATCTTGTTTCCATGGTTAATTAAGTTGATGACTGTTGTAGCTATATATTAACAGTGAAAATTACATTTTCCGTTCCAGGCTTCCCTTAATGAAACCAGATTATCTTATAGATATCAAAAAGCCTAGTACAAAAACATGCAAAACAAATCAAATACATTTAGCTGAATATATCAGTATTTTCAGTAATTACAAATATACTTCACATATGTAGCCATTATTCTTCACTCATGCTGCACACTCAGGAAACATAACCTACATATTGTAAGGGCTAGCAGAAATCTGAAGCGGACTCTCTGGCGAAGTAAAGTAAGAAGTCAGGAATTCATCAGAACAGTCTTTGATGACTCAATCACAGGCACTCGAGGCCAGGATATTATATTTTAAACATTGATTTTTGTTTTAGCACTCATGACTGACGTTATTTAAACGAAATATCAGCAGAATTCAAGTTTATGTGCCGGTTGACAAATCCGAGGTCAACGGTCATTAAAAATACACCGTGGACCTCGGATTTGTCAACCGGCACATAAACTTGAATTCTGCTGATATTTCGTTTAAATAACGTCAGTCATGAGTGCTAAAACAAAAATCAATGTTTAAAAAATAATATCCTGGCCTCGAGTGCCTGTGGACTCAATATATAATTTGAAAAACAACTCATTATGGATGCTTATCGGGTAATTGTGTCTGTATTTCCCATTATATGAT